TTTAGAGACGGGAAGGGAAGGAGAAAGAGGGGATGAAACATCAATGTGTAGTTGCCTCTCACATGCCCCTACTGGGGACCTGGACCACAACCCAGGCATGTGCCCAGAGTGGGAATTGAACTGGCACCCTTTGGTTCACAGGCTCACACTTAGTCCACTGTGCTACACCAGCCAGGGCTTATTTTCTTATTCACCACATTGTAGTGTGGTTGTAGTTACAGCTGGCTTTCCTACCAGATTGTCGTCTCCTTAAGGACAGAGATTATCTGTCATTTTAATGCCCTTCAGTGTCTGGCAGTGTTCATACTGTATGTTTTCAATAAATCTTACTTGAATTCAATTGAAACTTGTTTTTTTCTCCTTTCTTCTGTAGGGAAAAAAAGCACACAACAGTTAGATTCTTCACCAGCTCGAAAACTTCTCAAGCTTCAGTTACGAAACCTACCCAACGCACATTGTTCTAAGTCTTGTCAGTGACCTTAAGTATCTTTCTGCCACAAGGTGCTGCAGAGCAGAGAGGGGAAGAATGCGCCAGCTCGTGGCGATCGCATGGCTGTCTGAACTCTTGGTAGCTACCCGGCTGCCTTTGATAACTGGCTGACTGAAGAGCACTTTGATTTTATTCTAAAAGTGACAACATTTATATATCCAAAAGAATGTTGTATGGACACTTTTCCCAAGAATGTGCAAAATATTTCAAGTTTCTGTTTTGGAATGACCATCAGAACTAGTGGCCTAGTATTTTAAATATCCTCTATGTTCCCAAATCTTCATCTTGTATAGATTTTTTTCAAGTTTTGAAATACCCAAAGTCACTGAGGATCAAATTCAATGAAACATTTTAGGGGTCAAGTTGCATTCTGGTTGTGAAGGAATGAGAGTAATTTTCTAGTGTGTGTGACTCTTAGGTAGAAAAGTCGCAGGCATTGTTTATATCATATGGATACATATATCACTTCATAAGATGTCCAGATTGGGGAAATACCACTCATTTTCCATGCCCTGACGCCCAGAGTTTGCTTCAGCTTTTAATATTGAGTCAGCATCCTAAGTCCTGGATCATGGCAAGAAATGGCTAAGTATTCCTTTTTATTGTTCTCTGTTAATAATCTGCATTATAAAATTGTACATAATTAAACGTTTTTCGTTGTCTTCATGTATATTTTGAGTGTACAAAAAAGAAACGGAAAGGTTTGCCCTGGCTGGTGTAGCTCAGTGGGTTGAGCATGGGCCTGTGAAGCAAAGTATTGTGGTTCTATTCTCAGTCAGGGCACATGCCTGGGTTGCAGGCCAGGTCACTGGTGGGGGTGGGTGTATAGGAGGAAAAAACAAAACAAAACACCCAGATATGGGGCCTCCCCACATGATTCTCACTGTCTAGTGGGTATACAGGAAACAAGAAGAGACAACTCTGGAAGTGATGTTTTAATTGATTCGAGAAAGATGAAGGAGTTAAACGGCGAATATTTGAGTCAAAAGCAGCAGCATTTCCAGCCACCTGATGGGGGAGAGAATGAAGCATTCTGGGACACTAAAGAAAAAAACAGTAATGTAGGAATGCTGAGTGCCAGTGCAGAGCCACTGAAACGGGTTTGACATCATTAGGTTTTAAGAGAGAGAGATGGGGATCAGAACTTTATTTTTTATTTATTGATTTTTAGACAGGAAGGAAGAGAGATACTGATTTGCCCTACTTATTTATGCATTCATTAGTTGCTACTTTCTCTTTTTTTAAGATTTTATCTTTAGAGGGGAAGGAGAGAGGGAGAGAAATATCAATGTATGGTTGCCTCTCGTGTGTCCCCTGCTGGGAACTGGCCTGCAACCCAGGCATGTGCCCTGACTGGGAATTGAACTGCGATCCTTTGGTTCGCAGGCCTGCGCTCAATCCACTGAGCCACACCAGCCAGGGCCATTGGTTGCTTCTTATATGTGCCCTGGCTGGAGGTTGAACCTGCAATCTTGACATATGGGGATGATATTCTAACTGATGGAGTTACCTGGCCAGGGCAGAACTTTATTTTTACAAGATCATTCTAGTTGCTGAGTGGAGAATAGATAGCAGCAAGCAAGGTATGGATATGAAAGACCCATCAGGTATTGCGCTGGCTAGATGGGAAACAGTGGCCTGTGCTAGGACATGCTGGCAGTGGGCATGTGGGGTGCGCTGCTCGGAGTGTCTGGAACATTGCAGGCATTGTAACCTAGGTATTAAAAGCCTGTCACCGCAACTGGGAGAGACGGAAACTGATTAGATCAGGTATTAAGTGTAGGTTTGGTATCCTGGGTGACTCCATTTTGGGTCTAGTTTTTCTCTTTAGCACTACAATAAAATTAGAGTGCCAGAACCTATATCACAGGTATGCTATGAAGATTAGATTAGTAAGTTTAGGGCAGTGGTATCAATATGATGGAGGGTAAAGGCTTGAATAGCTGGGTGGATGATGGGAAAGCTAGTAGTTCAATTTGGGACACCAAGTGGGGAAGCTAAGTAGGCCGTTGGATATGCTGGTGGACGATTGAGTAGAAAAATATGGACTAGAGACAAATTTTGGAAGTTACTGATATGTATTTATTGAAGCCTCAAGAGTGGGTAATTTTATCCAGATTAGGGCAAAACAGAACTTTGGACAGTCCCAAGGAAAGCTGGGATTTTTAAAACCCAGAGGAGTGGTGTTGATCTATACTCAGAAGCAGAGTAGTATAATGGAAAGAATATAGAGTTTGAAATGAATCTTCATCTCATCCTCACTTTCCTTATTTCTAGAATGGGGACAGACAGATCATCTCCAAAGGTGATTGTACTTTCCTCCATTTTATTTACTATTATAAAAATTTGTTCGAACTCAAGCATAAGAAGTGTGTTTTAGTCTGTCTTGAACAGATAAACAATAGAATACAGAAAAACACTGTGGTACCTCAGTACTTGTTAATTTGTTCTGGAACTCGGGAGAAGTGCTGAGACCGACGAGTACCGAATGATGAAGCATTTTCTCTTGAGGGGTGTGGCGACTCATACAAGTTCTAGCAAGTGTGACAAGTCCCAAGCAAGCATCAAGGGCTGAAACTTTTTTCTCATCAAAATGTGACAAGTACAGGGTTTGATGAGTTCTGAAGCCAGCAAGAACCAAGGTATGACTGTAGTAAGTAATAAGCATTTTACATGCATATAGACCATAATGTTATGATATTACTTGTATATTTTTGTCACTAGAGATGAACACAAGGTTGGAGAGGCTTAATAATTTAACCAAGGACATAAAGATAGTGGAGGGTGAGCTAGAACTAATTTGGCACTCAGTAAATGTTAATGAATAAACATAAGTCATGTAATAAAAAGTTGTGCTCAGTCAATACTAGTTTTCCTTCTCAAATTTGGTCCAGGGATTGATAAATTACAGTATTATACACAGTTACTGCCCTTGGTGTTTGGTAACATTTGTTACATTTGCCCTAATTTAGTTCAGAGAATATTTTACTTCTAGTCATTGATCCTTAATAAATAATGTATTGCTGCCCTTAAAAAATAGGACATCCAGTTATTTTACCAGCAAGATGGATTTGTTTGGGCAACAAACAAATCCATCTTGCTGGTAAAATGGATTTGTTTGATAGAGAATTGCAATTCCCGATAAGTATGGTAATAGCAAAAGCTATAGTCAAGTCCAGCAAGCAAAGGAGAGGAACATTACAGAGGAAAAGGAATTTGGAAGGGGTTGTTTCTAATGAAAATCCATTGAAGGAAAGCAAGAGAGGCTGTCAACAGTTCCTCATTGGCTGAGTGAGTTGCTGGGCAAGGAAGGAAATTCTGTTGGAGTAATGTTAAAGAGAAAAACCACAGGCCCAAAATGGTGTCCTTGTGCCTAAGGCCCAGGATATTTAATGTCTGATCTAATGGCAGTTTCAACCTCTCCCAGAAACATAATTTTAAGTCAGCTCGTCTGGAATTTTCTGGTCAACACCAATGAGGTAGTCTGTCATGTGGGCTTCCTCTGCCCCTCAAAAAAGAGGCAATCTGCATGATAAAAACCCATCTGTTGCCCCCCTCCAAGGTGTCCCAGCCCCCTAGTAAGTCTTTTCCTTTTAAAATAACTCCATTGCCCTGGCTGGTGTGTCTCAATGGGTTCAGTGCCTGGCCTGTGTTAAAGGGTTGCCAGTTCCTTTCCTAGTCAGGACACGTGCTGTGCGAGAGGCAATCAATTGATGTTTCTCTCAGTCATTTGTTTCTCTCCCCGCTTCCCCTCTCTCTAGAAATGAATAAACAGAATCTCTAAAAAAATAAAATAGCTCCCTTGCTTCACCTTTCTTCCTATAAAAACCTTCCTTTTTGTACATCCGCGCTGAGTACTCTTCTATTTGCTAGATGGGATGCTACTGGATTCATGAATTGCTTAATAAAGCCAATTAGCTCTCTACAGTTAGTGATTGATTGATTGATTGATTGATTACAATGGTATGACTTGCAAGGTGCGTATCTTTCTGTTGGGGTAGGTAATTGATTCCTCCTGTAATTGATGCTGAGCGGCGGTGCCTGAGGGCTCCCCTTCCAGCCTGTCCTACACCATTTAAACGAAGCTTTTCCTTTATTAATTTTCACAAGACTAAAGTATAAACTTTTGGGAAAGGGATTTAGTCCCGTACGTTTTGGTGTTATTTAAATTGTTGGGCCATTAAGCTTAAGGTGGGTAATCATTCTAAAAAAATAATTCAATTTCTCGTGTTGCACCCAAGGAGATGGCGCAGTTGGCAGCTGTAACAGTGATATAAAGGTGGACTGAGTCTTGGATTCTAATTCTCTAAGTCACTGGGTCCAGTCTCCAGAATTGACTAGCCCCTTCCCCATGCCAAGCACTGCTAGGTGCCACGTGACCTTGGGTAAGGGCTCCGGCCCCAAGTGAAAGGATGCCACGCCCTACAAGGGTCCTCAGAGGCTTCAGGAGGGTGCGACTCCGTAGAAGGGAGGAGGCCTGGCGGACGCAGCGCTCAACCCCCTCCCTTCGGGTACTTATAATGTACGGTTCTCCGAGAATTACATCCAAGATGGCACCGTCGGCCGCTCCCGGCTCAGCCACCATCTTGGTAGTTCCGAGGCCGGCCTGAGCGGCACAACCGCGCGGCCCCGGAATCCTCAACGCGCCTGCGCGTCCGCACAGCCTCCCCCGCCCCTCTCGCTGCCGCTGTAGCCGCCGCTGCTGCACTGACGGCGGGTTCCCCCGCGCCCCAGGTGAGTGAACGCCTCAGCCCGGCCCGCCGGGGACGTGGCGCTGCTGGCGGGGCCCTAGCTCCCCTTGCTTTCACCCGCCCCGCCTCGTCCCTCGTGCGCGGTGGGGCCCCGGGCTCTGGCTGCCCGCCTCAGGACCCCCGGCGCTCTCCACTTCCCCAGCTCCTGGGTCCGGGTCAGCCCGGCCTCCCTCCGCCGTTCCCGGAGCCGAGGCGACAGCGTGCTGGCGGCAGGGGCTGAGCAGGGGTTGAGCCTCTGGGCGCCCACACTCTCGGTCGCCGGGAGCCACCTCAGGCGCGACCCCCTTTCTCCTGCTCTGCCGGCGGTGGGACTTGGTGGGCCTCGGTGTCGCGCACCCATCTGTTCCCTCCTCCCGCCCCGGCGCCAGGGAGGCTTGGGAGCTGCGCGGTGAGCTCTGGCGCAGCCCCACGGTGACCCTGCGAGGGAGGTGCTTCTTCGCCCCTCTTGACAGAGGAGGAAACTGAGGCAGAGATCGGAGAAGTGCCTGCCCAAGGTCACGCGGCCGACAGGCATGGGCCGGCTCTTGCCCTCGGTGTCTTGGGCCAGTACGGTTGAAATTTGATCTTAAGCCTTTAAAAAAAACTGAAATACACTTATCTCTGGATTTGCATTTTAACATCATAAAAGACTGCAAAAACTGTTTTCTTGTTGAAGAACAAATGAGATGTTGCTGTAATAATAGTAGTGTTATTAATAAGAGTTATTGTTCACCCGGTGCTTGCCGTGTGCCTGGGATCTTGCGGAACATTTCATTAAGATTCTCACTTAATCTGAGCGTTTCCCAATCACTGTGCCTCCTCCTTCCTTTTCACGCACTTTTTTTCTGCAGAGCTCGCCTCCCTTTGACAGGTAGATTCGGAGCCTTGCAGAAGCGGGGTGAGCCTGGCGAGCCTGCCCCCAGGTTTTCCTGAGCCGGGCCCCCAGAGGATATAATTAGCCTTTTCTGGCTGCCGGGACAGCGGAGCGGGCTGGCTGGGCTGGCTGGGTGTGGGGGTGACAGAGCAAATCTGGCGAGCCCTCACCCTATTCTGGGGCTTTCGGGCTCTGTTTTTACATTGCGCTTGAACATCTTAGTATCTAAAATAAAGTAGAGAAAGAGTGTTGACAAAGCGGTGCTGAATATAAGAAGCTACCACGATTTAAAGTCCCACAGGAACAGCTGTAAAATCATGTGAATGTTTCCTCCCCAAAATAACTAGCTCAAACTGTCTTTTTTTTTTCTTTCTTAGCAAATCCTTTTTAAACACTTCAAAGCTCCACTAACTCACCAGCATCTCTGTGAAGCCTTCCTTGCTTGACTTTCCCATGCATACACATGTGCGTGTGCATACGCACAGTAGGACTATTAGCCAAGAGAGGTCAGGGGCTGTCTTTGCGGACCAAATGCCTAGCTCACAGTAGATCTTTGGCAACGGCTCAGTGAATTCCCACTACTCCTTTTTGTTACTCAAAGAATGATTTTTTTTTTTGTTGCCTTTCTGTATTTTCCACTTGCCCTTCAATTTCTCTTTCCTGTCCCTTCCTTTATATATATTTTTTCCAGTTTTGGTGAGAAATAATTGACATACATCACTATATAAATTTAAGGCATACAGCACGATGGTTTAATTTATATTGTGAAATGATTACCACAATAGGTTCACCTAACATTCATCTCATAGATATGATTTTTAAAAAAAGAAAAAAAGAATAAAGGGAAAATATTTTTTTTGTTGTGATGTTTCCTTTTAGACCTGCCACTCCGAAAAGGTCTCTAGTCCACCCTGTTGTTTCTGGAAATTACAGATAAGGGTCCTGTATCAACAAGCCTGTTTGTTTATCCTTGACACTGGAGTTGGTATAATTGTAGAGAGCAGTTTTGATTTGCATGTTACAGTAAGGTAGCCTGAGCTTGTGGTCTTTTATTCTATCCCTAAATGCATGTTCGATTCATTTTTATATTTTTGGCCTTTTGTGGCAGACTGCCCCTGGTGCTACCAGAGTAATCACAATTTTTACCATAAGTCATTTCATAGTATTAATGTTAATAACTGTTCAAATGGGCCCTTTGGGAGGCTGCATATCTGTGTACAGTTCTCTACATAAATGAGGCTTTTTAGAGATTTTTTCCAAATAATTTTCTGCAAATATATTGAGCTGTTATGCGGAAGACATGGCGCTGGGAATGGTGAGAGAGTAAGCATTTAATAAAACATGGTTCCTGTTGAAAGCTTACTAGCTAACTGGGAAACACCGTATCTAACTATAACTCAAGTCAGGTCTAAAAATTGCCATAATAGCATCATAAGCAAAGCAGTGCTATGGAGTAAACTCATCCAAGGTCAGACCTGGGGCTACAACTTGAAAACTAAATTTCTTTTACCCATTAAAAATGTACCAGTATTTTAGTGAATTCATCCTTAAAGACATTAATCAGCAACTCTATCAAAATTCTGCCCTGGCTGGTGTAGCTCAGTGGATTAAATGCTGGCCTGTGAATCAAAGGGTGGTTGGTCATTGTGGATTGGATTCCCAGTCAGGGCACATGCCTGAGTTGCAGACCAGGTCCCTAGTAGGCGGCATGCGAGAGGCAACCACACATTGATGTTTCTCTTTCTCCCTTCCCCTCTCTCTAAAAATAAATAAATAAAATCTTTAAATTTCTCTTTGTGTGCTTAGAACAGGATTGAGGAAGAGATAACTCGAATATGACTCATGTTTTCAAGGAAATATAATAGGTGTGTCAAGGACTTTCAGGTCCAAAGATTGATAGCATTTGGGGTTTACTGCAGAGCCAGTGTCACGTCATTGTATCCTGAAGGGCCCTTTTAATAGTAAAAACTGTTCTTTGACTTTGAAGACAGTGTGTACATAATTGTTAAATCCTGTGGTAGAGAGACCAGGTTTGGCAGAGCTGCAAGAGGGCTGAGCCGTGGTAGTGCAAACACTCTGGGGAGGAGTTAGGACTTTCTAGGCTTTGACAGATTGGTAGGGTCAGAATTAATCAAAAGGACAAGGAAAGCATTTTGAAGCAGGGTGGTAGAACTAATGCAAGATAACAATGCTTGATGTGTTTAAGGGACAGGTAAAAATCTGGCTTGACCAGGGTCACCTGAGTTGGTTGAGAGCAGTGGTTCTCAGCCTTTAGTGCACTTCGGAATCACCTGGAGAGTTTATTAAAACCCACAATGTCTGATTCAGTCAGTACGTTTGGAGTGGGGCCGAGTTTGTACTTCCAATCCAAGGACAACACTTTGAGAATTACTAGATGAGAAAGTTGAGAAGCTAGTGTCGCAAACTGTCAAAGAACTTTTTCCAAACAAATGTGGGGTATGTGTGCATTGGGTGTGTGTGCATGTCATGTATCATCATAGGAGAGTTCTGGAAATCCACATTCTAAACTGCAGTTAATAGTCACTTCCGGGAGTGGGCTTTAGGTGGTTGGAGAATTTACTTTTTACCGATACCTGTCTATATTTTTGCATTGTGCACAGACTGCTTTTGTATTTAAATAAAAAAAGCAAGAGTCCTTTTTGAAGATATATACTGTACTAAAATATTTATAGATTTAAAAGAGAGCTTGCTAAACTAATCTAATGTCACACAACAAACATTTTTAGAGTGTCTGCTGTGTGCCAGATGCTGCTGGGATCTGGAAGTACAAAGCCTGTGCTAAAGCTTGCAGCCTGGTGATTGAGATGGGCTGATAACAGCTCTACTGAGTATCATGTGAGCTCCATGAGAGCAAGGATGAAGGTTTAGCTCTGCTTGTGGCAGATAATAGGCACTTGATAAATGATAAATGATTAGGTGAAGCCAGACAGGAAGTGAGGATAGTCAGAAAGAAAAGGGCAAATGGGAGATTTTGGAGGAGAAGTTGACAAGTCTGAATAGGGATGCTAAAGGAAGAAGTCTGTCAAGGACTTTCAGGTCCAAAGATTGATACCATTTTGGTTTACTGCAAACTGGGTGTCAAATTCTGAAAGACATTTTTATTTTTATTTATTTATTTTTTAAAGGAAAACCACTGATGTTTCTGCTAAGGTCCTGAGATATTACACAGATTTTATTTATTTGTTTGTTTGTTTCTTCTTTTTAGAGAGAGGGAAAGGGAGGAGAAAAAGGTAGAGAAATATCGCGGGTACATGGATAGATCTGTTGCCTCTCTCGTGCCCCCAGCTGGGGACCTGGCCCACAACCCAGGCTTGTGCCCTGACTGGAAACCAAACCAGAAACATTTCAGTTCACAGGCCGGCACTCAGTCCACTGAGCCACATCAGCCAGGGCTGAAAGGCCTTTTTGAAACCTCCCCACCTCACCCCCTCTTTTTTAAGAGACTGCTTGGAAATGGCACGCAAAAACTAAACCCAGATTTTAGTATGAGTATTCGCTAGGTTTCAGGGCTTTCTTCGGTAAATGAATGTTTTTTCTTTAATATAGTGCTAATTCTATTGTGTTTATAATATTTACCCACAATCTGGCCATTAAATATTTATTGTGTGAAATTAACTAGAATACATGGAGGATGTTGTACAAAAGTGGGTTGTGTTATATCTTTTGGTCTTATCTCTTCAGTGGGGGGGTGGGGATGGTATGGTAGACTCAGAATTCTGTCATGTTTCTCACAGTGCCACGCAGAGCTTGGCATGTTCCCAGTCCTAAACAGACATCCATTGCTGATGGCTGAGTGGGGTGTACTCTAGAGGAAATAAGGCTTTGTTGCGGTCTGAGTTGAAGTTCATATAGACAGTATTTACATTGTCAGGCAGGCTGTGCTTTTAAACTTGGTTGCTGTTAAGGCACATGGAGTAGGCATTCTTCCCAACTCTTTGTGTGGAGGTGCTCCATTTTATCTTCCCCAGAGATTTAATACAGAGAAATTAATTCCTCAAGCGGCTTACCCCAGCCTTTGGCTATATTGTTAGACTGTAATCACTTTACCCCCTAAAAATACCTGCAGTCTGCAGTTTGGGGTTTTCACTTGATCGAGGCAAATTTTCTGC